TCAGTATGAGAGAAGGATACGCGACTATGCAGTAAATCATTGTACTAAGGATGATGGAACTTTATATCTCTTAACTGGAAGCTCATTTGTTCATTGGATTCCACATACAGACCATTTTAGGGCCAAAAAGCCAAGCAAAGCATCTAAACCGGCTGATGAAGATCTTCCTCAAGTCCCTGTCATAACGATCCCCAGTTCGCTGTAGACTGCTGGCTGCTGTCAGAGGTGGTACTGCCGTGGGGAACTTTGCAGTGTTTGGAGCCAACGCAGAAGATCCAAGAGAGCAGTACACTAGTCAACTGTCCGTGGATGCTTTTCAACGGGCATTAACAACCGATAAGCGAGGGGCGAAACAGAGGATGAAGTCAGATTGTTTCCAGCATTCCCGAATTGCATGGATGATGCCAAAGAGGTGATGCTTTGAGGGCTTATACGGAGAAGAGAGGATCGAAATATGGACCACATGAATTCAAGGAAAAAAATACGAAATATAAAAATACATTACCGGGCACTCTGATCATTATGTTTCTAAAGGGATCCCTACTCTGGTTCATTACAGTAACAAGTATGACATCGTATGACAGCCAGAGCTGCATCGCTGATGATCGGCCAGTTTATATAAAACAATATCCATAAAAGGAGTAAAAAATGGTTTAAATAAATTCCTTATTCGATGGTTTAACATAAAATGCGAATGAAAAATTTTGTTGATTTATATATATATATATATATATATATATGGCTTATTCCAGAGTGTTGCAAGCTCGCAAAAAATCCAAAGGATAAAACGGAGTTAATTAAGAAATAGAAGGTGCCTCCGAATTCCCTTCACTTCTTTCTAAAATATCACTTGTGAAGGACTGGGAATAGCAAAGCACATCTCTGGACTTATCGAATTAAATCAATCAATTTGCCCAACGCGTTTGTCAAGTTTTACCTGTTTCATGTTAGTTCTTCTCTCGAGAATTTTTACGGCGTTGTATAACTCAAGATCAAAAACTTTATTCCACGCTCTCCGACGAAACACAATACTAAACCAAGCTAACATTTCAATTTGAGCGAAAAACAGTGGTTTAAACGCATGCCTAAAAAAAAACACCTCTGTTCAATCATTAGCTTAAGGGACATTTCCTATGATTAAGAGTACAACTCAAATAATAACCGTTAAATGAATTTGTAACAACAACATTTCTACTGAAAGTTAAAAAGTATCACGAAATAAAAAAAATACAAAAGGTTTACGAAATTAAGATTAATGAATAATCATAAAATATTTATTAACCCACTGTCAGAAATAAAAGCCGCAATCGAATATGATTGGATTATGAACTTAACTCGTCAAAAAACTCCTGACAACTTTTAGCATTAAATAGGTTATCTTAACCTATATTTCATCAATTACCTTAATCTTGTTTTGGCGTACTGTTTCCCAACTTTTGTGTTCGTAAAGGTTTTTTCTTTCGCTTTTTATTGCGAGTAGCCTCATTATTCAGCAGAATAGAGTCCGTCATTAATGTTTTGTCATCACTCTTTGTTATTGAAAGAATAATCTCCATCGTCGCGGCCAACAGATTACACATGGAGAGTAAAAGCAAGCGATTCGATTTTGAATATTTTTTTGAGAATACCACTGATAAAAAGATATCATAAATTTGGCGTGCATGGGCATCATCAAGATAATTTTCCAATCCAAAATTTTTATCCTAAAAAGGGCAAATCCATTTTAGCGCCAACAACAATTACAAACTGGGTTAGGCTAAAAAGGTAAGATAACCAAAAGAAGATTTTTTACTAGTCAGATGAAGAGGGTTGTAGTGGATAGAACTAAAAGAGCACGTGCTAAGATCATAGCAATTCCATATGTTACTTTAAGTCTTTCGCTGTTCATTATGTTTCTTTCTGTTTATAATGCTTCCCTTTAAAATAAAATTCCTTTACCACTGCTAAACAAAATAATTACAACAGGTAGAGGAGCATGCATTAATCAATGAATCTTTTGCACCGCTGACGTATCTCTGAGAAGCCAAAGATTGGCTCACTGCAATATAGGTCGTAAAATATGAATAAAGATTCAGCCCTGCAAAATATCCAAAACTTTATTTTCGCTACTTTCTTGTCCATGAACATTCTGGATTGATGATATTGAACGCATCTGCACGACAGCTAAAATCATTGAGGTCCATCTGCCCTGCTTACTGAGGAGGTTGGATAAAAGTCTTGGAATTATATACTTGCTGACAGTCTTTTTCGATCAATCTGTTTTTAGTGGATATTATTCCCGAAAAAGAATCAGTCGCATTTTTTACATTGAAATTGTAAAAATTTCAGCATACACTAATTTTAGTGCGTCCCGTTTGTCCATCAGACGATATTCGGCAATATTTGATTGCTAAGAGTTGCTCTCCGTATATAGTCATAAAAGTTCCTCGCGTCAATATGTCGAGTATGATTGCTCAGGCCTCAATTTTACTTCTGTTGGTGCCAATGGTCGTGCAGTTTTAAGAAACAGCAATGAACAAGACGAAAACCATATCAAATTATTCCACAGATCTGTTCACGATCCTTTTTCGGAGTCGTAATTATTAGACAAGGCGACTTAGCGCAAGACAAAGAAACGAAACTAAAATAAATTACTGGAGAAAATGTTGGCTTCGTAAAACTTTGGCATGAGTGATTTTATAGATAACTTATACTATCAAAAAAACCCGACAATCGTGAGGAGTGTCAAGGTGACAATCATAAACTCATAAAGAGGAACTTTTCAGTTTCAGTTAAAACGAAAATGAATACCTTGAATTAGTAGCTTGGACTGTTGAAAAAAGTGCAAAATTTATGTACTATGATTTTTCCCTAACACTCAGCATCAAAAATTCGCGATAAAAATTTAGCACAGACAACTTTTGCATTTGAGGCATCTGAGTTATTATCTAGAATTTGTAATTATTTCTGATTCATGCGATGAAACTTTTGGATGGATTTTTTTGGAAGATATATTAGATTCAATGAAATAGATCAGGTAGCTGTTAAACTAAAAAAAATGGAAATATTTCTCGGACTTATCAGAGAGCAGGTGCTGAATAGGGTGATGGCTTCTGCGGCTAACCGTTAAAATTTGGAACATTTTACCGTGTGATTGAACCGTTCATTCAACAGGTATAAGTCTGCCAAAAACACCCGGCTAAACAAGGGTCAAGGCAAATGATACATGCATATCTATCTCATAATAATAACTCAGGTTGATATACAATTTAGGTGGATTTGGGATGGCTTAATTTTCCGGACTAGGACTAGCATTCGTTCAATTGAATTAAAAATACTCTTTAGACCACGTACCTTCTAAATTAACAAACCCTGGACACTTTGAAGGCAGCTACACGGCGATTGGTTTGGTACCCAAATAAAAAACACCGAAAGAAGCACCCTTTTAAGATATCATATGGTTAGAAATTGATATTTTAACAGGTCTCTCAATTTGATTCTTCAATAAAACTGGTACCTTCCTTCCTTTTACAAACTGTTTCTCTAAGGGAAGGATTGGATCGTTTGTTATTCTGAAATAGTTTTGTTAGCCAAATTTGTTATAATGTATTGACCATTATCTGAATTAGGCTCTGACGAAACAATGTTTGAAATCTGAATATTGAAAAAACTTAAAAAAAAAACCTTTTAAATATCTTGAACATTTTAAAAATCTTAAAAATTCGAAGCACTTTAAAAGGTCTCTAAAGGGGTAATCAAAAGTTAAGAACTGGTTTCAATTTGCACAAAAGAAATAAAAAAAAGAGTTTAATTTATGGAGAATTAAATTACTCAGGTGGCTTCACTCAGGCTATACCAGCTATACTGGGACTTCTGTTGTGCTATTGGACAATCCATTCAACCTGCAAACTTCCACGAGGAAGTTGTACCCATGAGAAATTTTTCACAGCCTGGTGTTTACAATTCGTTTAAGACAGTTGATGAAGATCCCTATCCTCACCTGCTGACTCTGATGCTAAGATGGAGGCATTCTATGTGAAGATTTTACAGGTCCTGCTAACGTTTGGACTGATAGCAGCCAATGTCGTTAACGGTAGCCCCTTACAAAGGCAACTGAAAAAGGGTAAGATAAGCAACTGTTCATGTTTCAAAAACTGAAATCGTATAAAAAATTGCATGGCTAATTGAAATAACAGGAACAAAGCCCAGATTGAAGATAGACAAACCTTACCTTTAACCATATCGCTGAATGGCTGTTCTCGTCTTTTATCGCCGTGGAATCGATCATAACCTTTTTTACGATTTTTTGCAACCATTTCTGCCGGAAATCGACCTCTTTTGCCAAAGAAGTACCCTTTTTCCCTTGTTACAAGATAAACAGAATATTTTAACTGTCCCCAGAGTCTTCTATTTCATGGAGAAAAATTCGCTGTCTTTCGAGTTATCAAATGTAGCTCATAGCTTAAAATGACGTCAACAAGTAGCTATTTTTCGGAGTTCTTTGATGAATTACCAGGTACCTGAAATACAGCTAATCACTGGCAACTGAGTATTGATTGATTTTCCTTAAATGGTCCCTGTGAAAGAAATTTTTTGAGACGGATACAACACTTGATTGAAACGACCTTTTTTTTCTGAAGAGAAATAGGTCAAGAAAAATATTTAAAAACTTTCCATCGGGTTCTTTAAGTATCAACATCTTGGTGAGAGATGGGGTTTTACAAGATTGCTTTACTTTTGGAATATCTCCCGACTGACTGGGATTTTCTCAGCATACAGACGAGCCCGTAATCAAGTGCGCATACCAAGATGACAAGTGGGATGTTATAATTATGGTATACCATAACAGAGGCGTCAAATAACTTATTTATTTACATAGCTAAAACCAGAGAATCACGAAGGCAGATTTCACTCCAAATGACTTCAAGTCTTTTTTTGTCTCGGTTTTTCCAGCAGATAATAAGCAAGATGTCACAGGCAACCGAAAAACTGTTTACCCTGGAAAATGGGTTGACTGCTACATGAAAAACTTTGCGGGAAATGTACCACCAGTAGGTTTGCGTGATCCAATTAATTTCCACATAAAATATATCTGTCAAAAAGATTACCGAGAATACGATGATGGAACCCACTATGGAACAATGTTTGACAAGCAATTTGGAATTCCGGTATACTCGGCTTACACTCTCACGAAAGATAAGGTAGACTTCAAAGAATGGACACGCCCAAAGTGAAAACAAACCGAAGGTATTTGTTCAAGCTTCTGATAGTAAGTTAATTTTACCATATAGGACTTGTTTAAACTCTGAGTGTTTTAGGCTAAAAAACCAGTCAAGTGTCGTTTTGAAGAGATGGTGTAGATGGTGCACCTGCTGTTTTGTGAGCTTGCTGTAGATAACCTTTTACGGTCTCCTTGGTGTAGTTCTGGCGTAGTTTGATGTAGTTTGGCGCAGTTTCGTCTAGATGGCGTCCACAACAGCAATAATTATATTCTTAACAATAATAATGAACCTGTTTGACGTAATCCAGTTTCCTTTTTGAGGCATTAAGGAACAAGGAAGCGACGAGATCTATCCCAGTCTACCATTTCACCGAGGGCACCTGGCACCTGCACATACTCTATCAGATACGGGTTATAATGGCGCCGGCTTTCGATCCACTTTCTACTACACGAATGCAGTACCACAGCGACCAGCTTTTAATAGTGGTCAGTGGTCTCAGTATGAGAGAATGATACGTGACTATGCTACAGATTACTGCACTAAGGGTGATGGAGCTTTGTATCTCCTCACTGGAACTTCATTTGTTAATTGGGATCCAGATACAGACAGGTATGACATCAATGATCCAAGTGGACAACCTAAACTGGCTAATGGAGATCTTCCTCAATTTCCATCTATAACAGTCCCCAGTTCTCTGTGGACGGCCGGCTGCTGTGTCAAAGATGGTGATGCCGTGGGGAATTTTGCAGTGTTTGGAAACAACAGGGTAGATCCGAAGGAGACGTTTACTCAACAAGTCTCCATGGGTAAATTGCATGAGGTAATTAAAGGGGATATAGCAAGTGGCAAGCCACCGAAGGTCAAATTGTTTCCAGCATTTCCGGGTTGCATGGATGATGCCAACAAAGTAACCCTCCGGCCTGAGCGGAGGAGAGAAGACTATGTGCACAGAACGAATTTAAGTGAAAAAAAAGTCTAGAAGAAAAACCATATGCGTACTTTAATCATTAATATTATTATTTCTAACAGGGTAATTTAGTGTTATCAACTGAGTGGATAACGTAAATTGGCCACCATAAGGAGTTTAAAGGCTGACCTTTCGAGCGTTAGCCCTTCGCTAGAGCCATTGGAGGATTTGTGGTTTGCTCTATTGGTGGGAATATAGTAACGATCAAACCAGACTAAATGAGTTCAATGAAAAGCGCTCGTTGATACCGTAGGGATTAAGAGAGCCGATTTGAAAGATAAATTTTTGTTCTAGAGTTTTGCGGTTTTCCGAACTGCCTAGATGTTGGAAAAGCCTTAAACTACCATATGCTGTTTTGAATAGTTAGGGAGATTAAAGTATCTAGCAACTGGTTTGGATGCATCCTTGTTATTTTTTCTACGTCGCGAAGTCGAGTCGATTCGACAACATTTTCAACAACCCTTGTTAGTTACTAACGGAATATTTTCTAAGTGTCTTGTAAATCGACTTCCGGTGTGACGGGTCGACTTTGACTGAGATGAGTCGGTCGATTCGACAACAACTTCAACCCCAATTAGTAGCTACTTGCGGAATATTTTCTATGTGTCTTGCAAATCGACTTCAGGTATGACGGGTCGACTTTAACTGAGATGAGTCGTTCGACTGAAGTCGAATCGAGTCGATTCGACAACATCTCCAACAACCCTTGACAATTACCAGTTAGGTGTCTCGCAAATTGACTTCCGGTATGCATTTCCATCTAATGAGAGATGGTTTAGGAGATATCTGGTATAATAAGACGCATTCACCGTGAAGCGACTTCCGGTAAAAAAAAATCGGAGCGGTTTGGGTGTATTGGACAACCCTCAAAAAAGCTACAGAGAACTCCGGAAAATGGTCGGACATAGTACAATTTGGCAGAAAACGTGAGCTCTCTTGCTCTATGTTCTATACTCTGATAGAGCACGCTATTTCAATTATATCCAAACTTTATTATAGGTGCAACTCATGCAATATATCAAATCGGAGGAGATGTACGTGAAGTGCTCTGTTTGAGGGTCTGGATGAGGGTATCTCGAAAACACTAAACACTAAAATTTTACCCTCTATAACATCAAACATTAAAATTTTGGGCTGTTTAACATCTAACACTAAAAAATTCTCTGAAACACTAAAATTGATACAAATGTAACGAGAAACGGCTAAAAAATGCGCCAGATACTGATAACGATAAACGCGGGCATTCAATATGGAATCAGCTACAATTGATTTACATACTGTGTCATTTTGATTGCAATTTTGTGTTGTTCATTGTTTATGTCTCTATCATGGAAAATCATTGGAGACTATTTCTCTGCAGAAGGGTACATTATGCTTAACAATTAAAATTTTCCTCTGTCGTTATCACACTTTCGCAAACTTTCATTTGAACAATTTGTTTATTTAATCATCATCATGCTCCTTTTACCTACCGGGAAAAGGCTGTTGCATCCTCACTAGCCATCCTCTTGTTTCAACATAGCCAGCTTCATCAAAAGCACAATGTGTTTCTTCATCCCATGATTCAATACATGAACTGACAGTCTCATCATGGCTTTGAGACAAGTCTGCGGATTCTTCCAAATCTTCGTTTAGGTAAACACTATCACTGTATAAGGAAATTATCACATACATGTATTATAGTTTTCGCAACATATAGATTCATTTCTGGTCATTGTTCATTGTGTTCACAGTATCAGCCAGTATCAGGAATTTCAAAAGGGGAACAAAGAAGAACATATATAACATTGGGACACTACAAGCAATGAAGAATGCTCCAGATATTAAGCTTTGTAATGGATTTTTGGTATCATGATACAAATGCCAATTGTTTTTAGTAGTTCCACTATTTGCTAACTGCCATGCAATTATATTTTGGCAAAATATGATTTTCTTCTTACACATGAAACACACGTGCAAACATCAATTTGAAAAACATAAACTGCTTTATTTCATTAAGTTCAAAATATCAACAAAAACTATGCATTAAGACTCTATCAGCAGTACCACAAATGCTGGTCAAAGACATTGGTTTTGAGATCTAAGGAAAAAGCTAAACAATCTTTGTGTGTACAACAAATATTATCTATTGGTACATGGTAATGACATGTCTATGCATGAGTTCTATAATAATCTAGATTTTCATCCAAAAAAAAGTTCTTTTATACAACAATATATTCTTCAGTAAGGTTTTTACTTGTCAGAGCCTGTTTCTATGGCATCAGCACCAGTAAAGTCCTCCTGCTCATCTTGTGACATGGAATTGCTGCTTGATGCTGAAGAAAGTCGTTCACAATTTCCTTTTTTCCAAAGGCTGTCCAGGGTGTGGTTGTTTTTCACTAAACGCTGTGCTTTCTCGTAATTTCTTTGGCACTTATTGAAATGTGCTACAAAGGACAAATTTTTAGCAAAGGTGAACAGTGTATTCCTAGGTTTACATTTCTCCACCATGGGGATTATTGAAAAAGTGATAAGGGAAGTTCAACTTAATTATAAACATTCATTAGTCTTTTAGAAGATCAGCTGAATACAAAAGACCAGAGTTACTATCACCTAAATACACTCGGAATTATTATTTTTCTTATTCTGAGTACTGAAACATGTGATCTGCAGTAATGATATTGGTAAATTAAAAATATTTGTTTAAACTTACTGATTTTGAAGTAATTGACCTTCCCTTGGGTGGTTCTGCTGGACTTAGTACTGATAAAATACGGTTTCTTGCAGACTCCACAAGTAAATTTCACCTCATTAAGAGCTGAGCTTCCAGCAAGCTTCCCTAAGTCTAAGCGAGATAAAAGTAAACACATAAGTAAAGGTAAAAGTACAAGTAAAAGTAGAAATTCAAAAACCACCTATTTCATTAAAATTTACCTGCTTGAAGCTCATCTAATTCATGCCTCTGACGCACATTTCTCACAACTTTATTGTCTCGCAAAATATTTTGAACTAGTTCTTTATCTTCCAGACATTCTTGTCTTCTTTTCCTACTTCTATTTCTCGCAGAATCTGATGCTCCAGGCTCATTGTCTATGATGGCAATTTCTGGATCTTTATCTTCTGAAGAACTTGTTGAAGTACCAAGAGGTTCTTTAGGAGTTTGCTTCACACCCGGTACAAGCACCATTTTCTTGTCTGACCAATTAATTATTTTCTGTACCACATGTACTTAAAAAAGATGAAAAAGAGGAAATTTTACTTTAGTATTTCATACTTATAACCTTCAAAGTAATTATCCTTTTCTAAGATCGAATAAGGATAATTTGTAACCCCCAATTTTCTAATACATATGTTGTGGTTATATTTATCATTAGTTCAAAACTTTTTCCTGCACTTTATGAATTCGACAGATCAGTTGTCTACTTACTATTGAGTTCACTTTGGGTTTCGTCAGAAACAAGGAGTGGCACTTCCATCTCCCACTGTTGTTGCGTAAGGATACGTAAATTCTTCGTTTTCCCGTGAGCACTCCTGGCCAGCCGGTACAGTTTCAGCTCGAAATTTCCCATACCCAGCGACGTAGCCATTTGCGAAATACCAAGAAAGTTGATCATATGCTTCCTGGCGTCCGTTAGATTTCTTTGGTCTATACCGATTGGAATTCTACTGCGATGTCTCTCAAAAGCATCTTCCTCGCCACATCTATAAAAGCTGATCAATACTTCCGCAATTCCCGCCGATGCGGACGAGGCGGCCATTTTGCATGCAGAAGTCTGCTGAAAAACCGCTGACCACAGAATGTCTACAGAACTTATGCGCATGAGTACAAAGTATGCATGCTGACCAGTTCGGTTAGTTCTGCGCAGACTCTTCTCCTTTTGTTTCTAGTTTGCACGCCTTTATCATAAGAGCTAAGTTTGAACAAATCTTAGTCCTTTTTTCTAATATTATTGCTTTCTCTGTAAAACTTTTATTGACCTTTATTGAGTGAAATCGCTGTTCTAATACCTTTTAACACTTAACACTAAACTTTTTTTAAACGCTTAACATTAAAATTTTACCCATTTTAACACTAAACATTAAAAAAAACGGCCAAATAACACTTGACACTAAACCCCATCCAGACCCTCCTGTTTGGGTCTCCGTATTTTTTCAATGTTATAAATGAAAGGACAAGCTTTGCATCGCCCGTGAGCACATTTGAAAGTTCCGGGTCGGCTATCACTTTGTAATGAACATCTAACCAAAATGTTGCCTTTGTTTTTGACACGTTTGAATGAAATAAGCGAAGGTTGCGAAACGACAGTAACAGTCGTGGCGTTGGATCTATGTAAAAGGCTCAATGTAGCTCTAACGCATGGAACTGGTCTGGAATTGCCCTTTTAATTGCAACCTGCCGAGAGTACCTTCTATACAAAGATGTCCACTGCAATTTTAACAAGGTATTCGCTAAAGTCAATTAAACTAACCCAATCTCTCGAAAAAAATATTTTGAAATAATTTTACCTGTTTTAAACTGGGCTAAGTGTGGGCGTAGAGTGCCTTTATAGTAAGATGTAAGAGTAGTCTAATCGGTCAAATGTGAAATTTGGTTGTACACTTGAATGCAGTGATCCGTCTAGTTTCCGAATGAGTTAATTCGACGTCCAATACCACACCTAAATGTATCAAAGAGGAAGCTAAATATTCTCCGACTAATTAAATTCTAATTTTTCAATAGGTAACTCGATAACACTCTTCAAAGGACTAAGAAAGAATATTTCGTGCTTTTGAAACATGGCATTCCAAACTCATCTAAGGAAACAAGCTCTGTTTTCGTAAAACAACAGCTACAGAAAAATTCGTTAGATGTAGGCAAAAATCGGTTTTCAATTTTTAGTAAGTTTTGCGAGAAGTGAATTTCGTGTTTATCTGATTTGAATTCAGTTCTCCTTCACACGAGAGTGTCAAGTCTTTAAGGCTAAACAAGGGTCAAGGCAAACGACATATACATGTATATCTATCCCATAATAATAACTCAGGTTGATATCCAATTTAGGTGGATTTAGGATGGCTTAATTTTCTGGATTAGAACTAGCGTTCGTTCAATTGAATTAAAAATACTCTTTAGACCACTTATCATCTAAATTAACAAACCCCGGACACTTTGAACGTAGCTACACTGCGATCGGTTTGGTACCCAAATAAAAAACACTGAAAGAGGCACCTGTTAAGATATCATATGGTTTGAAACTAATATTTTAAAAGGTCTCTTAATTTGTTTCTTCAATAAACCCGGTACCTTCCTTCCTTTTTCAAACTGTTTTTATTATTTTTTTTTTTTAAGGGAAAGATTGGATCGTGTGTTTTTCTGAAATAGTTTTGGTAGTGAAATTTGTCAAAGTGTATTGACGAAACAATGTTTAAAATCTGAATATTCAAAATACTTAAAAAAAAACCTTTTAAATATCTTGAACATTTTAAAAATCTTGAAAATTCGGATCTCTTTAACAGGTCTTTAAAGGGGTAATCAATTGTTAAGAACTAGTTTCAGTTTGCACAAAGGGAATAAAAGGAGTTTTAATTCATGGGGAATCAAATCACTCAGGTGGCTTCACTTAGGCAATACCAGCTGTATTGAGACTTCTGCTGTGCTATTGAACAGTCCATCCAGCCTGCAAATTTCCACGAAGAAGTTGTACCCTTAAGGAACATCTTACAGCCAGGTGTTTATCATTCGTTACTGGCAGTTGATGAAGATTCCCACCCTTGCCTGCTGACTCCGATGCTAAGATGGAGAAATGCCATGTGAAGATTTTACACGTCCTGATAATGTTCGGACTCTTAGCGGCCAATGTCGTCAATGGTAGCCTCTTACAAAGGAAGCTAAAAAAGGGTAAGATGAGCAACTGTCCACGTTTTAAAACTGAAATCGTTTAAAAAAATTACGTGGCTAATTGAAATAATAGCAACCACAAAGCCTAGAATGAAGAGAGGCAAACCTTACCTTTAACCATATCGTTGACTGGCTGTTCTCGTCTTTTATCGCCGTGGAATTTATCACAACTTTTTTTACAATTTTTCCCTTGTTACAAGATAAACAGAGTATTTTAACTGTTACCAGAGTCTTCTATTTCATGGAGAAAAATTCGCCCTCTTCCGAGCTATCAAATGTAGCTCATGGCTTAAAATAATCTCAGCGAAAATTCAAGTGCTCTTACGAACTACCCAGTAAATGAAATAGAGTTAATCACTGGCAACTGAGTATTGATTGAATTTCCTTTGATGGTGTCTGCATAAGAAACTTTTTGAGGCGAATACAACAGTTGATTGAAATGAACCTTTTTTTTTCTGAAGAGAAATAGGTCAGGAAAAATATTAAATCTCTCCATCAGGTTCTTTGATTATCAACATCTGGGTGAGAGATGGGGTCTTCACAAGATTGGTTCAATTTGGAATATCCCACGACTGACCGGGATTTTTTCTGCATGCAGACGAGCCCGTAGGCGAGCGCGCATACCAAGGTGACAAGTGGGATGTTATATGGTATACCTCAACAAAGGCGTCAGATAACTTAGTTATTTACATAGCTTAAAAACCAGAGCATCACAAGGCAGATTTTAATTTGAGAGACTTTGTTTTTTTTTTTTGTTTTTTTTTCTCTTTTTCCACCAGGTCACATGCAAGATATCACAGGCAACCGAAAAACTGTTTACCCTGGCAATGGGGACAAATGCTACAGAAAAAACTTTGCAGGAAATGAACCACCAGTAGGTTTGCGAGATCCTATGAATTTAAAAATAAGATACATCTGTCAAAAAGATTACCAAGAATACGATGATGGAACCCACTATGGAACAATGTTCGACAAGCAATTTAGAATTCCGGTATACTCGGCTTACACTCTTACGAAAGATAAGGTAAACTTTAAAGAATGGACACGCCCAAAATGGAGACAAACCGAAGGTATTTATTCAAGCTTCCGATAGCAAGTTAATTTTATTACATAGGACTTGTTTAAGCTAAAAACCAGTTCAGTGTTGTTTTGAGGAGATGGTGTAGATGGTGCACCTGCTGTTGTGTGTGCTTGCTGTAAATTGCCTCTTTCGGTTTCCTTGGCCTAGTTCTGGCGTAGTTTGATGTAGTTCCGTGAAGTTTGGTTTAGTTGGCGTCCACGACTGCAATGTTTATATTCTTAACAATAATAGTGGATCTATTTGTCATAATTTAATTTCCTTTTTAAGGCAGTGAGGAACAAGGAAGCGACGAGGTGTATCCCAGCCTACCATTTCACCGAGGGCACTTGGCACCCGCACACACTTTATCAGATACGGGCTATAATGGTGCCGGCTTTCGATCCACTTTCGTCTACACGAATGCGGTGCCACAGCGACCAGCTTTAAACAGTGGTCAGTGGTCTCAGTACGAGAGAATGATACGCGACTATGCAGTAAATCGTTGTACTAAGGATGATGGAACTTTATATCTCTTAACTGGTAGCTCATTTATGCATTGGACTCCAAATACATACAATTTTAAGGTCATAAATCCAAGCGAAGCACTTAAACTGGCTAATGAAGATCTTCCTAAAATCCCTGCCATAACAGTCCCCAGTTCTCTGTGGACTGCTGGCTGCTGTGTCAAAGGTGGTACTGCCGTGGGAAATTTTGCGGTGTTTGGAAACAATGCAGAAGATCCTAGTGAGCTATACACTAGTCAAATGTCCATGGATACTTTGCAAAGGGCATTAACAAAAGATAAAGCGAGGGGTGAAACAGAGGATGAAGTCAAATTGTTTCCAGCATTCCCGGGTTGCATGGATGATGCCAAAGAGGTGAAACTTACACGTAAACGGAGGAGAGAGGACTAAAATATGCACAACATGAATTCAAGTGAAAAAGAATTACGAAATAAAAATTGTATCACCGGGCACTTTGATCATTACCTTTTTAAAGGAATGCCTCAATTGGTTCATTACAGTAACATCGTGTGACATTGTATGACAACCGGAACTGCATCGCTCATAATCGGCTAATTTACTTAAAACTATATTTAATAAAGGAGTAAACAATTGTTTAGATAAATACCTTAGTCGATGGCTTAACATATGATAAGAATAAATATTTTGCTGATTTATATATACACATGTATATATGGCTTATTCCAGAGTGTTGTAAGCTCGCAAAAATCTAAAATATAAAAACGGAATTAATCAAGAGAGAGAGGGTGACTCTGAATTCCCTTCACTTCTTTTTAAAAGACCACCTATTAGGGACTGGGAATAGCAAGTAACATCACTGGACTAAGTGAATGAAATCAATCAAGTTTGCCAAACAAGTTTGTCTAGTTTTACTTGTTTCATGTTATTTCTTCCCTTTATCATGAATTTTTTCGACGTTGTACAACTCATGATAAAAAACTTTATTCCGCGCTCACCGAGGGGAAAACAATGGTTTAAATGCATGTCTACAGAAAAACACTTCTGTCCAATCATTAGTTTAGTTAACAATTCCTGTTATTTAGAGTGCAACTCAAATAACAACCCTCGAATAAATTTGTAAAACAACATTTCCGCTGAAAGTTAAAAAGCATTACAAAATCGGCTACTTGCATTTTTTGAATACAATTCAAGTGCTTTTTTCGAATACATATCGGTGACTTCTCTGAATTGTCTGGGTACTTGTTTCTTCCGGTGCAAGTATTGGTAGCTTGCCTGGTTCAGTTATTTCAAAATAAAAAAAAACTACAACAAAAGGTTTATCAAATTAAGAAATTAAGATTAAGGAACAGTCATAATATATTTAGTAACCCATTGTCAGAAATAAAAGCCGCAATCAAATAAGATTGGATTATGAACCTTGACTCGCCAAAAAATTGCTCACAACTTTTAACATCAAACAGGTTCTCTTGACTCATATTTCATCAGTTACCTTAATCTTGTCTTGGCGTAATGTTTCCTAAATTTGGTGTTTGTGGAGGTTTTTCTTTCGCTTTTAATTGCGAGTAACCTCATTATTCAGGATGAAAGAGTTCGTCTTTTTTTTTTCTCATCACTCTTTCTTATTGAGGTAATAACCTCCATCGTCGCGGCCTACAGATTACACATAAAGAGTGAAAGTAAGCAATGCCATTTTGAATATTCCTTCGAGAATGCCATTTCTAAAAAGATATCATAAAATTTGGCGTGCATGTGCATCATCAAGATGATTTTCCAATTCAAAATTTATCTCTTAAAACGGGCAAATTCTTTTTTTTTTTTTAGCGCCAACAGTAATTACAAACTGAGTTATGCTAAAAAAGTAAGATGAAGAGGGTAGTGTAGTGGCTAAGAATATAAGATCAGGTGTTAGAATTATGGCAGGTCATTATGTTACGTTAAAGACCTTTGCCGTTCATTATGTTTCCTTTTTGTTTATAATATTTCCCTTTAAAATGAATCCTTTACCGCTACCGAAAAAATAATAACAACAGGTAGAGGAGCAGTAATTAATCAGTGTTGTTACCAAGCGTCATTGCTGAGCCATTGAAGCGCTTAAGAAAACCATGACGGTAACGGCAACGGAAACGTCACTAAACAAAACATTTCATGAGCAGAACAGTGGCAGTGCACGTGCGTTATAAATCTTTGAAATTTGTTTACGTCCTGTGCAATACAACAACGTGAAATGAGTAAAATATCTGTTTTCTGGAGAACGTGAACGTCGACGGCTTATTGTTTTTTTTTTTTTTTTAATTTGAGAGAGATTCGTAGACAAAATATATGTTCATTGTTTAATTATATAATCGACTTTGTCCACCGCGTCGCCGTTAACGTTTATTAAATTTCCTATTGTTATTTCTTAGCTATCTGTTAGATTATCTCAAAAAAAGTAAAAAAGACTACATGATGTTGAATGTTTATTCACTTATTTATATCTAAAATAAAATCGTTGACTTACTAGAGAGAACATTATGAGGCCGTAAGGAAATATTAAAATATTTTAAAAGCTATTGACCTTATTAATTTTCAATCCAATATAGTTAAAATGATAGAGTAAAGATCAATGGGGGGTCTCAACAAGTTTAACCGTTTGCCGTGAAACGGCTAAAAAAATTGACAAATTTTAACCGTTAATTATGCAAAAAATTAACTGTTAAAAAAAATTTTGGTGATGAACACAATGCAGACATTAGCCGTTAGCAAGAGATTATAAAGTTTATATTATAAAGTTTCTATGTAGTTGTATATGTCAATACGCGCTTAATTTACTTCATTTACAATGCAAAAACAAGCGAATCGATACAGAAGAAAGAGAAACGAAACGAAGCGACGCAAAGCGGTAAAAAGACTAATGTGACCAAAATGTGCTGCTTCTACTATACACTATGAATTTAAAAGGCGAACTAAACCTGAACTAAATTGCGTTAACTTAGGTAAAAAACACTTCTCAAAAACAAAGTTCACCAATTATTATTTGCGGTGCTTGGTGATGAGGATGGTTTGGTTGGTGTCTTAACGTTAATCTCAAAATTTACTTTTATATGATCCTTAATCAAACTCTAGTTACTATTATTACTTCCTTAGGTTATATGTCTTATTTATCTATTTTACCTAATTTACTATTAATCCATTTTGCTCAATTTAATTATAACACAAACCGCCCGATCAGCTTAGCTATATGCGGGTTGTGTATTTCTCTAAGTTGCTAAATCTATTCTATTGAAATCTAATGATGGTGATGACTAACGAAAAATCATTGAACAAGCCTAAATATGCAAAATGATATCTAACATGCGAAACAAAATAAACTTATAAGATTAGGATGATAAGCAAAAGTAACATAGATACACGAACGCCTTTTCCTAGCGTCCATCTTTTCATGCTGGTGAATGGTCCAAGTTTGAGAGATGAATACGAAAATATGCAGAAGTGTGCACCAAAGATCACAAAGGAGTGCTCTTTCTGGAACCGCGTTTGTTTATGTTGACGTTCTGGTCGAGATAGATAAAAGTAAAAAAGCTAGATAGGGTAAGCAAAGGCGATAATCTAGAAACGCGGACTGGGGAAACTAATAACGATAAAATATATGTTCCCGCGTCATTATGGACTGCAGGATGCTGTGAATACACATCCTTTCTTTATTATGAACTAGAAAGTTATTTAGTGATCGACAGAAACATCAACGAACGAGGTAAAATGCATACGCAACAAATTTCTGTTAAAATCCTCCAAATACTCTTAGGCAAGACTATTTCACTGCCGAAGGAGTTAGTCTATGTCTTGAAATTCCAGACTGTTTAGAGAAAAACTTTGGAATGCTACTCAAGGATGCAAAGAAGCTCAAAAGGAAGAAGAAGAAGAAGAAAAAGAAGAAGAGGTGATGGAAAAAGTAGAGAAAGAAATGGAAGAAGAAGACAAAGAAGAAGACAAAGAAGAAGACAAAGAAGAAGACAAAGAAGAAGACAAAGAAGAAGACAAAGAAGTAGAAAATATCGAAGAAGATGAAAAAAAAGGGAAAAAACCGAAAGAAGAAGAAGAAGAGAGGAAGGAGAATGATATGGAGTTGGAATAATATTCCGCTTCTGAAGAATTCGAACAGAGAAACGTGATTACACTGCCACGACTTTGGCCAATATTTCCCAGTACGGTCCTCACATTGCGTCTGTAAGTAGTTAATATTAACCGAACCTGGGGTGAATAATTGTTCCGGTATAAATTTTCAAGTAATTTTATCAGAAAAAAATTATTTCATTTTATCCTTTTTCTTTGTTTACAATTTGTCTATTCTCATTTGCGTGGGTTGATCATATAGAGATGCGACGCAATCCTCGACCAACTGAGCTATTTAATTTGTCACTCAAAAATGACTTTGGCCAAGGTAACATAAAATATAAAGAAAAAGGCACGAAACAATGTGCTGATTTGTAACCTCTCAGACTTGTTGAGACTAGTAAAGACTAGTTGAGCTACAAGAGCCCTCGACTTATGGCGAAAGGGTCTGGTTACGAGGCATTTGTAATTATCATGCAGTTTCTTTGATGTACCATGCAGCCCCAAGACAATTCTTCTTCCTTTATTGTTGTGGTGTTCACTGTTATCCTTTATTCAGCATAGGTTTCCAGGATTTCAATGATTAAACTCTATCTCAAGATATAATAGATTGAAAGTGTGTGAGGGCCTTATGGGGGATCAAGTAACTTTCATCGTCTCACAATCAAAATTCTCCCCCGCCCCCGCAACCCCCACCCCCCTTTCCCCCGACCCCTACCTCCTTAACCCCTGGCAGACTATAACTGGTTACCGGTCCTCCAGTCAGAAGTAATGGCCTCAAGTAAACTGTCATTTCGCAAAAATTCTTCAAAATTTTTAACCGCAAACAGGTGAACTTGACCCACAGGTCTCGGGTTAGTCCTTGTCTTGAAATATGTTTTCGTGAAGGCTTCCTTCCTTTTTTTGTAACAAAAGTTGCTCTTTAGGATGGAAGGGCCCGTCAGAATGTTTATGGTTTACCCAATGTATTTCCTTTTTATGATTTTGACAATTGCCGTGGCTCACAGACTACACAAAGATACAAAACATAAGCTATACGATCCTAACTACTGCTCTGAGCATGCGATGTTTACAGATATCGTATATCATTGTGTAAAGTCACGTACATTACACGTGAAAGGTTCATTACAGCTCTGAACGCATCGAAATGTTCTGGGGTTGCCCTTGTAATTGCAACGTGCCTAAAGCGCCTTCTATACAATGGTACCCGCTGCAATTTTAACAGGGTATCAGCTAATGCCAGTTACCCTTACTCAATCTCCTGTGCAAAACGCATTTTGAGATAATTTTAAATGTTTTAAACTGGGATAATTCCCCCGGACGATGTGTTCGTTACCAGTGTGGTAGTGCAGTGTCTTTATAGCAAGATAGGAGAGTTTATATATCGGTCAATGTGACGATTTAGTTTTATTAACTGGGTTGATAATGTAAATTGGCCACCGTAATGAGTTTAAAAGCTGACGTTTCGAACGTAAGTCCTTCGTTCATCGCTCTGACGAAAGGCTCACGCTCCAAAGGTCAGCGCTTAGGTGGCTAATTTACGTTATCAACTCAATTGATAATACTAAATTACACTGTACTCTCCCATCCACGCAGCGCCCTCTTTGTTCATATGTGAAATGTGGTTATCTACATAAATACAGTAATATATCTTGTTTCCGAATGAGTTAATTTGACTTTGGGTTTTTGAAACCTCAAGGCATTCCAAAATCTTCTAAAAAAGCAACAGCTTCAAAAAAATTCGTTATTTGTAGGCGAAGTTTGGTAGCTATACTTTCAGTAAGTTTTGCAAGAAGTGAATTTTGTGTTTCTCTGCTTCATTAAGGTTCTATAAACGGGTACTCCAATTAAAATTTCAGACCTGTAGTCCAAACTCTATTCAGTCGTATATAGTTATCAACAGAATTTGTACTCCCAGCGCCTTCCTACCTTTTTATAAACTGCTTCCTTTTAAGGAAAAATTGGATCGTTTGTTTTCCTGAAATAGTTTTGTTGGTCAAATTTGTTAAAGTGCATTGTCCAATCATTAGGCTCTGACGAAACAATGTTTCAAATCTTAAATATTCAAAACACTTAAATATCTTTTTGAAAATTTTCAAAAACTTGACGATTCGAAACTCTTTGAAAGGTCTTTAAAGTGGTATTCAATAGTCAAGAACTGGTATAAAATTACACAAAGGAAAAAACAAGTTTTAATTTATGAGGAATAAAAGCACTCAATTGCCTTAACAATGCCAGCTATATTGAGACTTCCGCTGTGCTATTGGACGATCTATTCAACCTTCGAAATTACATGAGAACGTTGTACCCATAAAATACTTGTTACAGCCGGGTGTTTCCCATTCGTTTTAGGCAGTTGATGAAATTCGTATCCTGACTTGCTGACTCTGATGCTAATAAGATGAAGGCATTCCATGTGAAGATTTTACACGTCCTGCTAATCTTAGGACTTGTAGCGGCTAATGTCGGAAATGGTTGCCCCTTACAAAGGAAACTGAGGAAGGGTAGGATAAGCAACTGCTCACGTTTTAAAAACCGAAATAGCATAAAAAATGGAAGGCTAACTGAAATAACTGGGACAACAAAGCCCAGATTGTAGAGAGGCAAATCTTACCTTTGTATCGTTGACTAGCTGTTCTCGTATTTTATCGCCGTGGAATTTATCATCATTTTTTTACGACATTTTTGCAACTATTTCCGCCAGAAATCAACTTCTTGTGTTAAAGAGCTACCCATTGTTCCCTTGTTATAAGATAAAAAGACTTTTTTAACAGTCATCAGAGCCTTCTATTTCGTTCTCTTCCGAATTATCAATGTAGCTCATACGGCTTAAAATAATGTCAGTAAAAATTGAAGATTTCATTGAGTAGTCTCTGTGGACGAAACTTTTTGAGAAGAATACAACACTTGATTGAAATGATTTTTTTTTTCTGAAGAGAAATAAGTCAAAAATATTTAAAAACTTTCCATCGGGCTCTTTGAATATCAAAGTCTGTGTTATAGATGGGTTTTTCGCTAGATTACTTTATTTGCATTAGATGTTCGTTGAAAATTAGAACGCATATAACACTTTTTAGCACAATATCATGAAATATCTCGAGAATGACTTGGGGTTTTCTCTGTTTACAGACAAGCCTGTCGGCCAGTGTGTATAACAGGAAAATTAGCATACAAGTCACGGGTGGGATGATCCATGAAATACCACGACTAAGGTGACAGATAACTTATTTACTCGCATAGCCAAAACCAGAGGATCACGAGGGCAGATTTCATTTTGAATGTTTGCGTTGTTTATTTTTACACCAGGTAACAGGCAAGATATCACAGGGAACCGAAAAACTGTTTACCCTGGCAATGGGGACGAATGCTACAGAAAAAACTTTGCAGGAAATCGACCACCAGTAGGTTTGCGAGATCCAATGAACTTCAAAATAAGATACATCTGTCAAAAAGATTACCAAGAAAACGATGATGGAACCCACTATGGAACAATGTTCGACAAGCAATTTGGAATTCCAGTATACTCGGCTTACACTCTCACCTGGAAATAACGTAGACTTCAAAGAATGGGCACGCCCAAAGTGGAAACAAACCGAAGGTTAAGAAAGTTGATTTATTACATAGGGCTTGTTTTAAACCGAAGTGCTCTATGCTAAAAATCAGTTCAGTGTTTTTTTGAGCAGATGGTGTAATTTGGTATAAATTTGATGTAGTTTAGCGCAGTTTGGTTTAGCTGGCGTCCATAAAAGCAATATTACTTGTACTTGGTGTAGGTTGCCTTTTTCGGTCTCCTTGGTGTAGTTTGGTGCAGTTTGGTCTAGCCAGCGTCCACAACAGCAATATTTATATTCTTAGCATTAGTAGTGGATGTATTTGACATAATTCAGTTTCCTTTTTAAGGCATTGAGGAACAGGGAAGCGACGAGATCTATCCCAGCCTACCATTTCACCGAGGGCACTTGGCACCTGCACGTACTTTATCAAATACGGGCCATAGCGGTGCCGGCTTTCGATCCACTTTCGTTTACACGAATGCGGTGCCACAGCGACCAGCACTTAACAGTGGTCAGTGGTCTCAGTATGAGAGAAGGATACGCACCTATGCCGTAAATCATTGTACTAAGAATGATGGAACTTTATATCTCTTAACTGGAAGCTCATTTGTGCATTGGATTCCACATACAGACCAATTTAAGGCCAATAAGCCAAGCGAAGCACCTAAACTGGCTAATGAAGATCTTCCTCAATTCCCAGCCATAACAGTCCCCACTTCCCTGTGGACTGCTGGCTGCTGTGTCAGAGGTGGTGAAGCTGTGGGGAATTTTGCGGTATTTGGAAACAACGCAGAAAATCCAAGTGACCTATACACTGGTCCAATGTCTATGGATACTTTGCAACGGGCATTAACAACAGATAAAGTGAGGGGCGAAACAGAGGATGAAGTCAACTTGTTTCCAGCATTCCCAGGATGTATGGATGATGCCAACGAGGTTAAACTGGAAGGACAAAAACGATTAATAGAGGAATAAAATATGGAGATTGTATCATCGGACACTTTGATCGTTATCTTTTTACAGGGATCCCTCAATCGGTTCATTACAGTTACATCGTATGTCATCGCATGACAATCGGAGCTGCATCGCCGATGCGGCCAGTTTAGATAAAACAATATGTGTAAAAGGAGTTTACAATGATTTAAATAAATTTCTTATTCGATGGCTCAACATAAAATACGACTGATTGCTGATTTATATACATATCTACGGCTTATTCAGGAGTGTTGCAAACTCGCAAAACTCCAAACGATAAAATAGGGTTAATTAAGAGATAGAGCGTGTCTCTGTATTCCCCTCTCTTATATTTAAAGTACTACTTATGAGGGACTGGGAATAGCAAATCACATCTCTGGACTTAGTGAATCAAGTTTGCCATACAAGTTTGTCAAGTTTAACCTGTTTTATGTTAGTTCTTCTCTTTCTCATGAATTCTTACGATGTTGTACAACTCATGATCAGAAACTTTATTCCGCGCTCTTCGACGGTTAGCCACACACAATAATAAATCTAGCTAACATGTTAATTTGAGCGAAAAACAATGGTTTAAATGCATGACTAAAGAAAGACAACTCTGTCCAATCATTAGCTTTCCTCTTATTGAGAGTGCAACTCAAATAACAACTGTCAAATAAATTTGTCATAACAATATTTTTACTGAAAGTTAAAAAGCATTACAAAATCGACTACTTAAATTTTTGACATATATTTACAGTGCCTTTCTAAGAAATATCGGTGAATTCTCGGAATTTTCTGAATCTTTCCTTTTTTTTTGTTTCTTCCTAAGTAAGCATTGGTAGTTTGACTGGTTTAGTCATTCAAAATTTTAAAAAATGAAAAAACAAAAAAAGGTTTACGAAATTAAGATTAAGGAACAGCCATCAACTATTTAACAACACGCTGTCAGAAATAAGAGTCGCAATCAAATATGTTTGGATTATGAACCTTAATTTTCCATATATTGCAAGTGCTTTTTTTGAACAAATATCGTTGAATTCTCGGAATTTTCTGAATCTTCTCTACAGGCAATTATTTCTTCCTAGGCAAGCATCCATAGCTTGCCTGGTTTAGTCATTTCAAAATAAAAAAAAATACAAAAGCTTTACCAAATTAAGATTATGGAACAGTCATTAACTATTTAATAACACGCTGTCAGAAATAAAAGCCGCGATCAAATATGATTGGATTATGAACCCTAACTCGCCAAAAAACGTCTCGCAACTATTAACATCAAACAGGTTATCTTGACCTATATTTCATGGGTTACCTTAATTTTGTCTTGGTGAACTGTTGCCTAAATTTTGTGTTCGTGAAGGTTTTTCTTTCGCTTTTATTTGTGAGTAACCTCACTATTCAGAATGAAGGAGTCTTTCTTAAATGTTTTATCATCACTCTTTGTTATTGAGTTTATAATCTCCACCGTCACAGTTTACAGATTACACATGGAGAGTAAAAGTAAGCATACGATTTTGAATATTCATAAATTAACCGTGCATAAGCATCATCATGATAATTTTCCAATCCAAAATTTCTCTTTTAAAAAGGGCAAATCCGTTTCAGCACCAACAAAAATTAAAAACTGAGTTATGCAATAAAAGTAAGATAGCCTAAGAGTAGATATTTGACCCGTCAAATGAAGAAGGTTGTAGTGAATAGGAATAAAAAAAGGATCATTGCAGCTCAAAATGTTACGTTAAAGTCCTTCGCTGTTCATTAGGTTTCTATTTGTTTATAATTCCTTTACCACTGCTAAAAAAAATATATATATTTTTAACAGGTAGAGGAGCAATCATCATCCAGTGAATCTTTCAGGCCACTGATGTATCTCTGAGAAGCCAAACATCGGCTCACTGCAATGACTCTTTGAGTTATAAACGCTCTCTTCCTCGGACAATTAAACTCTTTTTCGTTTGCTGTAGTCTTGTGCATGGTTTTGGTTCTCTTCAGTGGTGATGATCAGTGAAGCAATTAAAAGGTCGCAAAATATGGAGCAAGATTCAGCCCGGCAAAATATCCGATTTATTTACCCGTTTGTTCATCCGACGATATTCGGTAATATTTGATTACTAAGAGTTTCTTTCAAAAGTCATGAAAGTTCATCGTGTTAATATGTCGTCTTTGGTGCGAGTGTGACTGCTAAACCTTTCTAAATTTTTAGGCATCCTCTACAAAAAGACAACGTGAAATGATTAAACTCTGCGTTTTCTGGAGAACGTGAAGGGCGACGGCTATTTTTTTAAATTTATATTTTTAAGTTAACGCTGCGTTCCATATTTAGTTTCGGGATGACAATGAGAAACAAACTAAATGACTTTAGATTATCGCCAGATTCTCAGGTAAAATATAATTTTATGGTTTAATCGACGTTGTCCACTGCTAAAGAGCTGGAGTAGAGTATTTCGATAATTCAGGAGGTCATTTTCGGAGTTGTAGTTATTAGACAGGGCGACTTAACGCAAAACAACTGAACGTACTAAAGTAAATCATCGGATAAAATGTTGGCTACGTAAAATCATGGCATCAGTGAATTTCTAGATAACTAATACTGTCCAAAAGCAATTTAAAAAGTGTCAAGTTGGCCATCATAAACTCGTGAAGTGGTATTTTTCAATTTTTATTGTAATGAAAATGAACATCTTGGATTGTAGCTTGAAAAAAAAGTGCTAAAATCTATGCAATTCGTTATTTTTCCCGGACACTCAGCTTTGTACCAAACGTTGGTGATGAGAGTTTAGTAGAGACAACTTTTACATTTAAGGTTTTCTGGGTTATTATTATTTTTTTTTATCTCAACCTCCATTAGATATTTTTTTTCAAAGATATGTTAGAATTTATGAAATATATCAAGTACTTGTTAACCTCAAGAACTTGAAATATTTCTCGGACTTCTCAGGGAACAGGTTCTGAATGGGGTGATGGCTTTTACGCCTAAGGATTAAAATTTGGCGCGTTTTACAAATAGCGGTTGATTTCTTTCTGTGACGGTTGGAAACAAAGTTTTACGGTTAAGTTTTTAACAACTAACGTTTAAAATTGTCAATCCTTGACGCACGACGGCAAATTAACCTTTCTTGGCCATTAAACGGCTGACAATTAACTCCATTGAACCCGAAGCAAAGTTAAAAGAAATAAACCTTAGATATGAACGCGAATACACTTCTTTGCAAGACCCAGAAATAGTACAAAAACCAAAAAGAAAAGGTGACAGTAGCACCTTGGTAAGAAACGCAACTATATGTTTGTGTGAAACATCGGTTACCTTGACACTCCTATCGTCTATCCTATCTCATCCTGTCAAACTTTCTTTTTGTTTCTCTTTTTTTTTTCTACTGGGATCCACCTTCACACCCTGTAAAACCTGCTTCTTTCTTATAAAAATAGGTTCTACGATTTAGTTTTTATCCGTCGGTAAACTCGAGCAAAGAGCTAAGTGAAGTTATTTCGAAGGGCAACTGACTGAGGTTATTAATTAAACATGAGCAAATGTTTAAAATATGAGGTGTTCAAAGCCCTTCTAAGGGCGGGGTCATGAATAGAACATTAGAAAAATTCACTCAATGTCTAAAGAATTAGTTGAGTGCACTCTGTGTAGCGAAATAATTATTTTTCTACTGTGTGATTGGACCATCCGTTCAACCGGCAAAAGTCTACCAAAAAATTTTGCCATAAGAAATTTGTTACTTGTTAACTATTCCATTCGTTTTCGTCAACTTGCGAAGACTAAACCTTGCCTGACTTGGCTTTACGGCCGAGATGGACGCCATAATTAAAAAGGGTTTGCTATTCCTGCTAATATTTGGACTGGTAGAGTCTAACGTGGTGGAAGGGGGCCCACACTCGATGAAACACAAAACCGGTTAGTTACAAGATACATTTTCTATAGACTCCAAGAACTTCGAAACTAGCAAAAATAGAGTAAGGACCTTTCTATAATAATTTTTTTTAATATCTTTAGGTACGAGGGACGGTCGGTTTCTCATTGGGAACAGCTTAAGGGCACACGATGTACCAGGATTGCGTAAAAGTGTCCAAAATGATTGCGAGAACACTCATGTCAAAGAGTTCTTTCCTAGTGGGACACTGCCAGTGGGTTTACGTGAGAACCAAGAAAGAATGGTCCTCATTTGCCAACAGAAAAATAGAAAGAAATTCAGCCTGGAAAAAGAAACCTACTACACATCGCTTTTCGATCAAGGTCGGGGAATTCCGGTATATTCAGCCTACAAACTCACATCAGACAACACGAATTATGAACGGAGATGTCGCCCAACATGGCAAGAAAACGAAGGTATACTGAAAAATAACTAACAAATACCAAATGAGAGGGGAGGGCTCCATTCAACTCCCAACCCTTGTACCACGATTAGGTCTCAATTAGCTTGCGCTCTACAGGTTGAGATAAAGGAAGCACTGAGAGGCTGAGGGTCACAGAGTAATCAGTGTCTTACGGCTACTGTTAAGTGTTTTTCCCCTCTCTAAATAAAGCCTATTATTATTAGAGGCAATGCAACAAGTTAGTGGCGTATTAACATTAATAGCTTATATATTGTAGTTACAGATTATGACCACCTTCTCATTGTAGTTGTATATGCCTGTGCGCGCTTAATTTACTTCATCTACCATGGTACCTGATTAACCATTGATCCACCTTGCTACACTTGATTATAAGTAACACAAACCAGTTTGCTATAATTGACCAAGCCTAAATATGCAAAAGAAGACCTAAAATGTGACAAAAAGAAACCTACGAGATAAGACTAATTTGAAAAAGCTACAAGAACACGAAAACTAAACGAAGCAAACACAATTACGTGATCTTGGGCTTTAATCTCATGTCGTGTTTTCCATGCTGCAAACTTGTTTCGCCACGGGACTCTCAGGTAATCTCGACCTATTTCACATAGAATAACCACATGCACAATGAGTACAGGTGATAATTCCTCCACTACAAGAGAAAACTTTCCCTGATAGAAAGCTAATATCAGCAATTAAGCAAGCCTTAATCTATCTAGAATTGTGGATCTTGAATTTGATGAAAATGGCTTGATGGTGACGATGATGATGATGGCAGATGATTGATTTGAAACAAACTCTATTGTTAACTTATGAAAACTGAACGCAACTAGAATATAGCGGAAATTTGATTCCTGTGATTTTTTGATCTTCACCAAAAGTGAACAATTTTCACAAAGTTGAGCTCAACCGACAGAGGAGCCTTCAGTGATGAAACAAAGAAGTTTTCATTTTAATGTTATTCAACCCCATTTAATATTATAGTAAATAGAGGGTATTGAATTAACCACTTTTCCTCCCTTTTAAAGGTATTAGGAACCAGGTAGGAAAAGACACATACCCACCGGCACCTTGGCAAAGAGGCCACTTGGCCCCAGCACACACTTTATCAAGTGACAAAGTGGCCTTTCGTTCTACTTTTAGATACACGAACGCCTTTCCCCAGCGTCCATCTTTTAATGCTGGTGAATGGTCCAAGTTTGAGAAAAGAATACGAAAGTATGCAGAAGTGTGCACTAAAGGTGACAAAGGAGTGCTCTATCTTTTAAGTGGAACTGCATTTATTGATGTTGATGCTCATATCGAGATGGATAAAAATGGAAAGGCTATAGTAAGCAGCGACAATCATATAGAAAAGCTGCCTGGGGAAGGTGATAACGATGAAATATATGTTCCCAAGTCAGTTTGGACTGCCGGATGCTGTGTCGGTACTTCTTCTCCAAATCATGCTATAGAAAGTTTTGCAGTGATCGGTAACAATGTCCAAGAACGAAATAAAATGCATACGCAACAAATTTCTGTTAAAATCCTCCAAAAGATTCTTGAGCAAGACCAGTTCAGAGGTAAAGAAGTCCTTCTATATCCTAATAATCCACACTGTGTAGAGAACAACTTGGAAAAGCTACCCGAGTATGTTAAAGGAGATCCAAAGGAAGAAGAAGAAGAAGAAGAAGAAGAGGAAGAAGAAAAAGAAGAGAGGGAGGAAAATAATATGGTGGTAGATTAATATTCTGCATCTAAAGAATTTGAACACAGAAACGTGATTGTTCAACAATGATTGGACAATATTGGCCCTCAGTCGTTTTTATACTGCCACGACCTAGGCCAATATTCCCCTGTGCGGCCCTCACATTCGGTCAGTTAGAAGTTAATATTAACCGAACCTGGGATAAATAATTGTTTCGGTATAATTGTTCAAGTCATTTAATTAGGAAAAAACATTCCATTTTATCCTTTTTCTTTGCATCTAATTTGCTGCGCATCAAAGGAAAGATACATTAAGCCTGGCGTTTAGATCACATGATAGATCTGGAGATTGTACGTGCCGAATTGAAACAACTAAAGGCTTTTCCTGTTCTACGAGAAAACATTTTAAACGCAGGCTTTCGATGTCAAACTATAGTTCAGCTATAGTTGAATTTGCCCGTAAAAGTTTAGGGATCCATGCTATTCTCATTTGCGCGATTTGATCATACAGAGATGTGACGCAATCCTCGTCCAACTGAGCAATTTAAGTTGCCACTAAAAAGCGACTCTGGCTGAGGTAGCGCAAAAAAAAGCAAAAGGCACGAAACAATGTGCTGCTTTGTAACCTCTAAGACTCGTTGAGACTAGTAGAGACTAGTTGACCCACAAGAACCCTCGACTTGTGGTGAGAGGGTCTGGTTACGAGACGATTTTTAATTACGATTTGTAATTACGATGTAGTCTCTTTGATGTACCATGCAGGCCTAAGACAATTCTTCTTCCTTTATAGTTGTGGTTTTCACTGTTATCTTTTAATTAAGCGTTAGCTTCCAGGATTCCAATGATTAAACTATTTCAAGATGTAAAAGATGGAAAGTGTGTAAGAGCCTTATGGAGGATCAAGTAACTTTTATCGTCTCACAATCAAAATTCTCCCATCTTCCCCCAGACCCCCTTCCCCTTAACTCGTCGTAAGCTACAACTGATTACCGGTCCTTTAGTCAGAAGTAATGGCCTCAAGTAAATTCTTCAAATTTTTTAACCGCAAGCAGGTGCACTTGACCCATAGGTCTCGGGTAAGTCTTTGTCTCGAAACCTGTTTTCGTGAAGGCTTCTTTCCTTTTTTGTAAGAAAACTTGTTCTTTAGGATGGAAGGGCCTATTAGAGGGCTTATGGTTTACTCAATGTTTTTTCCTTTTTATGAAATTGACAATTACTGCGGCTCATAGACTACCCAAAGATACTAAACGTAAGCTATGCGATTCTAAGCACTGCTCTGAGCAAATCATTTTTACAGATATCGTATCATTGAGTAAAATCATGTACATTACACGCAAAAGGCTCAGTGCAGCTCTGAACGCATCAAAATGCTCTGGTACTGCCCTTCTAATTGCAATGCGCCCAAAGCGCTATCTATACAATGGTACCCGCTGCAATTTTAACAAGGTATCAGCTAATGTCAGTTACTCTAATTCAATCTCCTGTGCAAAACGATTTTGAGATAATTTTAAAGTTTTAAACTGGGCTAGTCCCCCCGGACAATGTCTGCGTTGTCAGTGTGGGAGTACAGTATCTTTCTGGCAAGATTGGAGAGTTGTCGTATCGGTCATATGTGGAATGTGAAATGTGGTAATTTTGTATTATTAGCTGGGTTGGTAACTAAAATTGGCCACCGTAGAGAGTTTAAAAGCTGACGTTTCGAGCGTTAGTCCTTCGTTCATCGCTCTAACGAAGGGCTTAAGCTCGAAAGGTCAGCTTCTAAACTCTTTACGGTGGCCAATTTACGTTAACAACTCAGTTAATAGTACTATATTACTCTGCTATACTCTCCCACCTACGCAGCAGCCCTCTTTGTCTGTATGTGAAATGTGGTTGTACACTTCATTGTATTAATATATCTTGTTTCCGAATTAGGTAATTAGACCTACAATACCACACCTGGATATATCAAAGAGAAAGGTAAAGCTCCTCCAACTAACTTATCAATTTGCAATAGGTAACCAGATAACACTCTTCAAAGGACCACGAAAGAATTTTTTGGGTCTTGAAACAAGGCATTCCAAAATCTTCTCATGAAAAAATTCCATTTTTTTAAAACAACAGCTACAGAAAAAATTTGTTAGTTGTAGGTGAAATTTGGTAGTTATACTGTCAGTAAGTTTTGCAAGAAGTGAATTTTGTGTTTATCTGCTTCATTAAGGTTCTTTAAACGGGTACTTCATTTAAAATTTCAGACCTGTAGTTCAAACTCTATTCAGTCGTATTTAGAGTTATCAACAGAATTTGTACTCTCGGCGCCTTCGTACCTTTTTTTAAACTATTTTTTTTCTTTAGGGAAAAGTTGGATCGTTTGTTTCTCTGAAATAGTTTTGTTAGTCAAATTTGTTAAAGTGTTTTGTCCACTCACTAGGTTCTGTCGGAACAATGTTTAAAAAAAGCTTTCAAATATATTGAACATTTTCAAAAACTTGACAATTTGAAGCTCTTTGAAAGGTCTTTATGGTGGTTTTCAATAGTTAAGAACTGATTTAAAATTACACAAAGGAGAAAACAAGCTTTAATTTATGAGGAATAAAAGCACTCAATTAGCTTCACAATACCAGCTATATTGAGACTTTGGCTGTGCTATTGGACGATCCGTTCAACCTGCAATCTTACATGAGGACGTTGTAGCCATAAAATACTTGTTAAAGCCAGGTGTTTCCCATCCGTTTTAGGCAGTTGATGAAGGTTCCTATATTCGCCTGCTGACTCTGATGCTATGATGGAGGTATTCCATGTGAAGATTTTACACGTCCTGCTAATCTTAGGACTTATGGCGGCTGATGTCGTAAATGGTAACCCCTTACAAAGGAAACTGAAAAAGGGTAAGATAAGTAACTGCTCACGTTTAAAAACTGAAATCGCATAAAAGATGGAAGGCTAATTTAAATAATAGGAACAATAAAGCCACAAAACCAGAGGATCTTGAGAGCAGATTTCATTTTGAATGTTTCTTTTGTTTTTTAGTTTTTCCACCAAGTAACAGGCAAGATATCACAGGGAACCGAAAAACTGTTTACCCTGGCAATGGGGACGAATGCTACAGAAAAAACTTTGCAGGAAATCAACCACCAGTAGGTTTGCGAGATCCAATGAACTTCAAAATAAGATACATCTGTCAAAAAGATCATCAAGAAGACGATGATGGAACCCACTATGGAACAATGTTCGACAAACAATTTGGAATTCCAGTATACTCGGCTTACACTCTCACGGAAGATAACGTAGACTTCAAAGAATGGACACGCCCAAAGTGGAGACAAACCAAAGGTATTTATCAAGCTTTCGAAAACAAGTTAATTTTATTATATGGGAATTGTTTTAACCCTCAGTGCTCTAAACTAAAAAATCAGTTCAGTGTTGTTTTGAGTAGATGGTGTAGTTTGGTGTAGCTTCTGATCTTTTGTACTTGCTGTAGATTGCCGTTTTCGGTCTCCTTGGTGTGAGTCTGGCGTACTTTGATGTAGTTTGGCGGAGTTTGGTTTAGCTGGCGTCCACAACAGCAATATCTATATTCTTAACATTACGGTGGATGTTTATGACATAATTTAGTTTCCTTTTTAAGGCATTGAGGAACAAGGAAGTGACGAGATCTATCCCAGCCTACCATTTCACCGAGGGCACTTGGCACCCGCGTATACTTTATCAGATACCGGCCATAGTGGTGCCGGCTTTCGATCCACTTTCGTCTACACGAATGCGGTGCCACAGCGACCAGTGCTTAATAGTGGTCAGTGGTCCCAGTATGAAAAAAGGATACGCGACTATGCAGTGAATCATTGTACTAAGAATGATGGAACTTTATATCTCTTAACTGGAAGCTCATTTGTGCGTCGGAATGCAGATACAGACCAATTTAAAGCCAAAAAGCCAAGCAAAGCGCTTAAACTGGCTAATACAGATCTTCCTGAATTCCCTGCCATAACGGTTCCCAGTTCTCTATGGACTGCCGGCTGCTGTGTCAGAGGTGGTGCTGCCGTGGGAAATTTTGCAGTGTTTGGAAACAACGAACAAGATCCAAGTAAGCTGTATACTAGTCAACTGCTCATGTCTACTTTGCAAGAGGCATTAACAACGGATAAAGCGAGAGGCGAAACAGAGGATGAAGTCAAATTGTTTCCAGCATTCCCGGGTTGTATGAATGATGCCAACCATGTTCAACTTGGAGGAATCAAACGGAGAAGAGTGAACAATAACATTGTATGACGTCGTATGACAACCAGAGCTGCATCGCTGATAATCGGCCAATTTAGATAAAACAACCTGTATGAAAGGAGTAAACGATGGTTAAAATAAATCCCTTATTTAATGGTTTAACATAAAATGTGAGTGAAAATTTTGCTGAATTATTTACATATCTATGGCTTATCCTGGAGTGTTTAAAGCTCGCAAACTCCAAACGATAAAATGACGTTAATCAAGAGATAGAGGGTGTCTCCGATTTCTTTTCACTTCCTTTTAAAGTACAACTTGTGAGGGACTGGGAATAGCAAATCACATCTCTGGACTAAGTGAATGAAATCAATCAAGTTTGCCATACAAGTTTGTCAAGTTTAACCTGTCTTATGTTAGTTCTTCTCTTTTTCAAGAATTTTTACGACGTTGTACAACTCATGATCAGAAACTTTATTCCGTGCTCTCTGACGGTTACACACACACAATAATAAATCAAGCTAACATGGCAATTTGAGCAAAAAAGCAATGATTTAAATGCATGCCTAAAGAGAAACACTTCTGTCCTATCATTAGCTTAATGAACAATTCCTGTGATTAAGAGTGCAACTGAAAGAACAGCTGTCAAATAAATTTCCCATAACAACATTTCCGCTGAAAGTTAAGAAGCATTAAAAAATCGGCTACTAAAATTTTTCACATATATTTCAAGAGCTTTTTTCGAAGAAATATTGGTGAATTCTTGGAATTTCATAGGTTGACCTTCAGAGCATCCATAGCTTGACTGGTTTAGTTGTTTCAAAATAAGAAAAAATACAAAAGGTTTATGAAATTAAGATTAAGGAACAGTCATTAACTATTTAATAACCCACTGTCAAAAATAAGAATCGCAATCAAATATGATTGGATTATGAACCTTGACTCGTGAAAAACTCTTCACAACTTTTAACATCAAACAGGTTATCTTGACCTATATTTCGCCAGTCATCTTAATCTTTTCTTGGCGCGCTGTTTCCTACATTAGATGTTCGTAAAGATTTTTTTTTCGCTTTTAATTGCGAGTAACCTTATTATTCAGGATGAAAGAGTCCGTCTATAATGTTTTATCATCACTCTTTGTTATTGAGGTAATAATCTCCATCGTCGCGGCCAACAGATTACACATGGAGAGTAAAAGTAAGCGATAGGATTTTGAATATTCTTTTGAAGCTTCCATTTATTTAGAGATATCATAAATTTGGAGTGCTGGGTATCATCAAGGTAATTTTCCAATCCAAAATTTCTCTCTTAAAAAGGCAAATCCATTCTAGCGCCAACAACAATTCCAAAATGAGTTATGCTAAAAAAGTAAGATAACCAAGAGGAGATTTTTGACATGTCAGATGAAGAGGGTTGTAGTGGATAGGAGTAATAGAACACGTGCTATGATCGTATCAGCTCGATATCTTACGCTAAAGGCCATCGCTGTTCATTAGGTTTCTTTTTGTTTACAATGCTTCCCTTTAAAATGACATTCCTTTACCACTGCTGAACAAAATAATTGCAACAGGTAGAGGAGCAATCATCAATCAGTGAATCTTTCGGGCCACTGATGTATCTCTGAGAAGCCAACATCAGCTAACTACAATGACGTTTTAAGTTATAAATACTCTCTTCTACGGACAATTAAACTATTTTTCGTTTGCGGTAGTTCTGTGCATGGTTTTGGTTCTTTTCAGTGAGTTGGACGCTCACAAGACTTCAATAGATAAGCTTGTGATGATCAGTGAAAAAAATAAAAGGTGGAAAAGTAAGAATTAAGATTTAGCCCTGAAAAATATTTCGTTACCTTCTTATCCATGCACATTTTGGATTGATGATATTCAACGCATCTGTACGACAGCTACAATTATTAACGTCCATCTGCCTTGTTTACTGAGAAGTTTGGATAAAAGTCTTGAATAACTTGTGTGATATACTTGCTGACAATCTTTTCTGTTCAATTAGTTTTAAGTGAGCATCGTTCCCGAAAAAGAATCCGCATTTTTTGACATTGAAGCTGTAAAACTGTCAGCTTACGTTCGTTTTAGTATGTCCTGTTGGTCCATCCGACGATATTCGGCGATATTTGATTAGTGCGAGTTGCTCTGTAAGACATAAAGCTTCGTTCTGTCAATATGTTGTCTCTGGTAGAAGTGTGATTTCTCAGGTCTCAAGTTTACTTCGTCAGGCGCCAATGGTCGTGCAGTCCTAAGAGACAGCACTGAGCAAGAGGAAAACCATATCAAATTATTCCGGAGATCTGTTCATGATCCTTACCAGGCTTGCTTCAGACAATTCTTTGTGAATAACCAACCTCCAGCAGGTCTCCGAAAAAATCTGAACACCATAAGATACATCTGCCAACAAATAGCAGGTAGTCAAGATGTCTTTTACGCCACAATGTTCGATGAAAACCAGGGAATTGCGGTGTATGCCGGGTACAAGTTGGATCAAGGAACAATTAACTTTGGTCAGGCGCCAGGGGGAACAAGAGGATGGAAGAGAGAACCAGGTAGGGATGAAGGAACTATCGTTGAGAAAAATAATTGCTCAAGGTGTAGGATTCTTTTTGCAAATTGTGACGATCCAATACACTGAATTTTTTGAGGAATAGGGATTGGAAATACCCCCCCCCCCTATCTCCCGCGTCCTTCTTCGGTCTATTATCGCCGATGATCTGTGAATATCTGACTTGAAAGTAGGGAGGGTGCCCCTGGCATTTTGACGTTGAAAGGTTTTAGCTCTAAACACTTTATCTGCCAAAATAAGAGGATCTTAAATGTTCGTTCGTGAAACGTAAAACTGTAATTTTGATAAATACAGTTACCTGGATGACATTGTTACCATCACATGAAAAGATATAAGTGCAATGTTTACTCATGTTTTTGGAGCAAGCCGAACTTAGGTATGATAAAATGACATATCAAACTTGACTCTTCCAGGTATACTGAGGCAAGGCAGTGACAACATTTACCAGAATCAACCGTTTCAAAAGGGTCACTTAGTCCCAGCAGAAACTTACTCGAGCTCTGAAGAGCGCTTATGCTCAACCTACAGACACACAAACGCCGTTCCACAAGTAGGAGCTTTTAACGGCGGTCAGTGGTCCCAGTATGAAAGGAAAATACGAATTTATGCCCAAAACACCTGTGTGCAGAACAATAGAGTGCTCTTTCTGTTAACTGGCACTTCTTTCGTTCAGGTTCAGAACAACCAATTGCAAGTAACACTAGTACAACCTAACCAACTAGGTCCAGTCCAAAATTACCCATCAATTACTATCCCCATTTCGATGTGGACCGCTGGTTGTTGCGTGGCTCCAAATGGCCAGGCAGAGAGTTTTGCGGTGATTGGAAATAACGATGCAAACCAGCTGCCCTTCATAAGTCAGATAAGCCTTGCCCAGCTTCAAACATCCTCACAACCGATGTCACCCAAAGTGGCTTAGGTGGACCTGAAGTGAATCTGTTTCCAGGACTTGCAAACTGCGTGAATAACAATGCTGCACAGCTTCCTAAAGCAGCAGCGGGTGGATAGAACAGAAAAAGAAAGTCATTTAAGAGTACGGCTATCGATCGTGGTGAAATGAATTATTATAAAGCATTTGTTGCTTGTCTTAATTTGTAGTTTCTTCCCAAGTACATAATAGACTTCCTCAGGTAATGGGTTCGACTTATTATGTGTTTCCTTAAACTAAGTGGGCACTATGCTCCGCTGTGATTGGCTGGTTTTAGTGTATTTCGAATATTTGTCCGCCTTCGTTTCGTTCTCCTGTTTTTATATTACTTGATCCTTAGCATCGATCGCTCGAAAAAATTAGATGCTACTGTTACTTGATTTATATTAATCAATTTCCGGGTATTTACTGGGTTTCTTGGCCGCAGAAAGGTTTATTGCATATGGCAACCACAGAAGCTGAACGACAGCTCAGAATAAACGTATATTAATTTTAATATGCTACTCCCTTTCACCTTAAGGTCTTCCCTTTCCTAATTACCACTTGGATAGCCTGATAGCCGTTTACTATAGTCATAACTTATTCAAAGCTTTGCGTTGTTTATGATGTAAGGATACAGTGACGATAACACAATAAAAAGTATTAAGAAGTATGAATTTGCAATGTAGATTGCAACAAACCTCATCTTTGTTCATAAAAGGAACAAAGGAACAAAGAAAATTAATATCTGGTGATGCAAACCTCACGATAAGTCAAAAACCAATAACTAAGATATTAAAAGTATCTTAACAGACACCAGCCTTGTTCTTGAAAAGTGATGTCTCGCTAGATTACTTTTGACGGATTCTTAAAAGGTTTCACCGGTGATTTTTCAATACTAAAATTCCATTTTGGAGAATTTTTGAAAGAATTTTCATCAATAGTTCCAAGCTTCATTTAGCATTTTTTTTATCATTGCAATCTTAAGCAGGAAGGTTTAATTTCTTACTGATGGTGAAATTCATCATCTGAAGGAGATTCTCCTGACGACTGTCGCCAATGATTCATCGAAGTGTCACGTTTCAAGAGGATTACAGCATTACGGTAGGAGATGAGTTAGGTGAACTCGAGTCCCATTGGATTGGCATTTTCGGTGTAAAACCTAGATATACTTTCTCGTAATCTAATCGTACGCGGCGTTTTGTTTAAGTTTCGAGGAGGTTTCGTTACCTATTTATTGTTGAAAAAGTTTTGGAGAATTTCTCATTCTTGCGAACGATGAAGGAATCTGTCACAAAAGTTTTATCGTCTCTGATTGTTATTGTCTGGGTGTCATCAAATATGAAAACCACTGAATGCAGGTTGAACAAGAGCCACAAGAAAGGTAAGAGGAGAAATTTGTTTTTTTTAAAGGAAGGAAATTTGTGAAGCTGCTGTTTCATGGCAAAATTTGCTTTGTGAAGATCTCTTAAACTTTGAATCTACATGTAACTATCATCGCCGAGTTATTCCAGGACACTGATTGAATTTCAGTGACATTTACTCTCTTGTTTTACTTTTAATTTATACTTAAATATGGTTGGGATACTACCGGTTATAAACTCTCAATATTATTCTCATCTTTATTATTTGATGTTATAAGGTTCTATGAGGTATCACAATTTCCTACCACAACTTAATATTTTATGAAAATGGGAAAAAATTGTCCATCATTCAAGATCTGATTTTTATTTCATAACTGGCAGATGTTAAGTAAATCTCTAGTAGCGAACTGCTTTTGTTCGTAGAAGAACGAAAAGACACCTTATTACGCAATTACCTGATTGACTTTTGATGAAAGGCGAAAACATACGCTCCCTCGTAATAATAAGAACAAGTATTATTACATATTGTAGATATCAGGGTAATGAAGTCGTGACTATGATGACATCATTTCACTGCAATACACTGATTTCATATCACTTTTTGAATTGAGTTGTCCAATCAGAAAGACTTTCTTGCTAAGCCACTTTGATAATTTGTATTCTCATAATTAACGCTGACGCTAAATTGGATCGAAAAAGCTTTTTCTTTTCAGTTTTGTCAACCATCTTACACTGTTTACTTTCGCTCGTTTCTGACTTTACTCTCGACAATTCAGCGTAACCCGTTCTGTTTCACGATCTATCAACTCTTCTTTAGTGCTGGTTGTCAAGGCTTGCACACTTTCCACAAAGATTCGTGGGCTCTGATTTCCTTTCAAACGTGGGTTACTTGACAATAATTCCCCTCATTCCCTTCGCGCTGAACGCCCTAGAAATACCTGTTTAGATACACCATTGTTCGCAGAATTGATTTTTTTTATTTCATGCAGCAATGCATCCTGCTACAATCTTCGAAGATACTTAAGCGTTAGCGAAATAACAACTTGCTTGATAAACAGCTAATAATATAACAAAATAACAAAATTACTTTTGAGCATAGAAACGCTTCACGGCAATAAACCCATGAAGATAACGGACCCATATGTAACTTAATATTCATCTTTCAATAGGAAATGATTATTCAAACCGCACCAACAACAGATCTTACGAAGCCTTTATCGAGGATGATGCGCAGACTCGAGCAGTGCCTGCTCCACTCTTGGTCTTCACTAATCCTCACCAGCCTTGCTACACTCAATTTTTCGCTAATGGAATCCCACCCGTAGGTCTGCGAACGGGACACAATTTAGGGAATATAAAATATATTTGCCAGCATTTTAGAGGTTTAGTTTATTACGCAACGATGTTTGACGAAAGGCAAGGCATTGCTGTGTTCTCAGCCTACGTATTGACACCAACAAACGTGAATTTCAACACCAATAATCTTCAACGCCAGCCACATTGGAGGCGATCACAAGGTAAATACACGGAAGTTAAATGTAAAAGGTGATATTAGTCGGCTTTTCAGTAAGCAGGTCTCTCTCCCTGACCCCCACTCGTATCACCTCATTTTCTGATTTTCCCGCAAAAATGTGCTTTTTTTTTTCTTTTTATGTCTGTTCGTTCCTCCGGTCGTCCATACGTGTGTCTATCTGCCTGTCCACCTGTCAGTCTCTCTGTCTGCCGTCTGAGCGTCTGTCTGTCTCTCCATTTGTCCATCTGTCTGTCTACTGTACGAGTGTCTGCCTACTGTGTCTGTCTGCTGTCTGAGTGCCTGTCTGTCTCTCCATTTATCCATCTGTCTGTATGCTTTCTGAAGAGGTTGGGTTTTTGTATGTCGGGAAAGACCTTGACGATACTTGATTACACTGTTTCCTGACCGTCCCATACTCTTCTGACAAATAGAGACTCGAAATCGTCTGTCTTTGTGGCCATCTACCAGCCCGATTGTCTCGCTATTGGTAGGTCTATTTGTAAGTCCTTCTCTAGGTCCGTCAGTTGGTATTTTCTCCATCTGTCCGTTCGTCTGTGCTGCCTTTCTGACTGCATGATGGCGTCTGTTGGAGAACTAACCTAATCAGTAACTGTATCCTCACATTCAAGGTATAGGCACACATGGAAGCACTCCAATATATCAAACTCAGGGTCAGCAAATCGACAAAGGTCACCTCGTCCCTGGGGCCACATACTCCAGCACTAGAGACAGCGCTTGTTCCACTTATGTCTACACCAACGCTGTACCCCAATATCGTACCTTCAACCGCGGCTTATGGGCTCAGTTTGAGGGGAGGATACGAACGTTCGCTACGCAATGCACGGGCAATGGCGGACGTTTGTACCTGTTGACAGGTACCTCGTTCCTTCACATTCAAACCACCGCTCCAGGAGTGAACGCACCTCCTGTGGCCCAGTTGGGTCCAGCAGGGAGGCGCAACATGTGTCCAGCGATATCTATTCCAAATTCGATGTGGACCGCTGGCTGTTGTGTGTTTCCAAGTGGGGTGCGAAGCTTTGCAGTGTTTGGGAACAACGTACCAAACGCAGCGCAGAGCTTGACTCAGCAAATGCCCGTTGCATCACTAGAAAACATTTTATTGCAAGATGTTGTGCATCACGGCATGGGGGGACAACCGTTCAGCCTCTTTCCCGCATGGAGTGGAGCTTGCTCACTGTCCCTCAATAACGTAGTGATATAAAAAAATCGCCACGGCAATTGTAGTTGAAATATAGAGCGACTATTTATCTATTCGGAAATAAAACTGAAAAGAAAGTGAAGTAATAAAGTCACACAGACAACAGGAAAGCAAGATTAGGACTTGCCGTGTCGTATTTAGTACACCTCATTGCTTGCTTCATGTCAGAGGCAGTAAACGGGTCATCAAGTAAGTAAGTCACGGTGTTAAAAAATGTTGCTAATATCTATTCCCTGAAATAAATATCTAGAACGTTTCAATTCTCGCACTGATTGAAATTTTTGGGCCAAATTTGATCCAATTGCACATGTCCGACATTTGACCGCTGTGTTACGTCAATGACAATTGAAACTTCATGTTTTCTAAAACAGTTTAATTATATACGTTTTTAAACAATTCAGGGTTTTATTCCTTTGATTTACGGGACTCGTCGCGTGGAATAGTCCAGGTCTATTTCCTTTCCTCCTCAAATCTCTACATTCAAGGCGAATTCTTCTCCCCTCGCGAACAGTAATACATATGAACCCAGCTTGGCAATCTTTCGAGACCTTCTCTTTATCGTTGCATGCTTAAAGGATAGAAAAAAAAAACGCGGTTTAATTGTGATGGTTAAGATCGCGGATGAAAATACAGGAACGATTGTATACATCTCGGCAGTCTATTAACCCTTTACACCCAAACATCAGTATGCATATTCTCCATACTGTTCTCTATATATTTCCTGAGTAGCTGACAAGGAGAATTTGTTTAGCAATCAAGAGCTTCTAGGTGATCATTTCCTCTATTGTCATGATCATGATCTCAAATGAAAGAGTCAGCAGTATAATTG